ACAGCGCAAAGTTGTAGTATTTCCTCAGCGACCAGCACGGATCAGCTCCAGGCATGACATTGACATTGACATGACGAAGCAGATATCGTCCTCTTTTGGAAGGCCAAACAAAGTAGTTTCGCTTTCACAACAAAACACATGGTGGGCTCGAGTGAGCGGAGTCCGGCTTGAGTGAGCGGCGGCGGGCGGCCTTGAGAACGGCGCGGCCAGCGGATTCGACGAAGGAGCGTCCGGCGTGCTTGCGGCAACCACATGTGACGATCCCGGGCTGGACTCCGCTTTCACAGCACCTTCACGACATGGCGGTGGCAGCAACAACAATACTACAGCGAGAATAAAAGGCAAATGTGGCACTACCTAATTGAATATACACTAATTTGCATAAATTTACAGTACAAAAATCTGAATGGTGGATAATTGTTTTTTTCTACAAAGGGGATTTTGGATATCACTCCATAAATCAGAATATACTGTCAACAGGCAGAAAAAAATAAAATAAATATATTCAACAAATCTCCAATTTTCAGTAAAATGTTATAAATCAGGTAAATTATATATGAACAAACCCCTCTGCATAAACCTTCAGAATATAGATAGGAATAAAACTGTAAAGTTGTAAGTATGTAAGTGAAACTGAAGTGAATTTCTGGTTCAGTGCAGGAGGAAAAAAAAAACCTAATTGAGAAAGCGACCTTTAATGATATGTATTGTAAAATATATCTACAGACACATAGAGAAAGTGTGATAAAATAAAAACTGTGTATTAAAAAAAAAAAAATTATATATATATATATATATATATATGTATATATTGGATGTTTTCTTTCCACTAATCTGAAAGAAGACAAGTTATGGAAGCAAAATAGCCAAAATTGATCAGTGCAGGAAAAAAAACAAAACAATGGTTTTGCCTGAAGTGTCTTGTAGCATTTAAGATAAAATATAAACTAAATAGTAAACCTTTTATAGAACCTAAAATATGCATTTCCTAACAAATTCATATAATTTTAACACTAAAAAGTTGATAAAAATAAAGGTTCTGGACAAGAAATATGCCAACTGTCCATTTATAAATTGGATTTTGTTTCGATCACATTATTGATGGGCACCTGAATTGGCATCCAGCCGTCAATGTCTTTGAAGTAAAGTGACCTCTGATCTTTACGGAAGGCCAAAGCGTTATCAGTCTGGAGGCGGTTCAGCTCCTGTTCGTTATTCACCACAAATATCTGCAGCACAGACATTAAATATTACATTTTGGACTGGCAAAATTAATTATGGTTGTAAAATTTAATATCATCCAAAAAAAAAAAAATCAATCCAGTGCGGTGCACAGATATCTGGGAATATTCAGGCTTAGTTTGTAAAGCATGCTGGCAATGCTGGCTTACCGCTGGCACTCTGGGATAGCTGCCCCAGTGGTCAAAGGAGGGATTGGCACTCGATGCGGCATTGCAGCCACAGCGGCCTGGGCTGCCAGATTGCCCCTTCTCTCCTTTCTGTCCTACCATGTACAGTCCTGGAGGAGAGGTAAACAACATTGAGCTAAAGGCATAAATGTCCATGTGATGCAAAGTAATGAAGTGATTTTAAGAGCTACTAAACCTGGCCCTCATCTATCACAAAGAGAAAGCAATTGAGTTCATATGCACACAAACCAAAACAAGACAGCAGCTGTCCTGTGAATAAAGTGATGACATAATGTTTGTAATTCTGCGAGTAGCTTGGCTGCTCCGGCCGTCAGTTAAGGACATGTTGTCATGGCTTCAGTCTCCTTTGGGGCTTCTGCTTCAGTCATGGATCAGGTTGCTTCTGAAGCTAAATAGACCAGTGGTGGGATTTCCTGCAGTGATTTAAAGGGGTCATATGATGCGATTTCAATTTTTCCTTTCTCTTTGGAGTGCTTCACCGTCTGCACATGGTGAATGCTGCAATATCATCATGTGATCCTGACAGGGCCGTAACCACCATAGACATTGAGGGGGACAAATCCCCCCCGATAATTAGTAATGGCCAAATGGCCAAAATTCTTGCACTGCTCTGCTGCACTTCATAACGCAGTGCTGTTTGTTGTTAGGATGACAAAAAGGTTTAAATGCTACATTTTTAGGCTGGTCTGCCTCAGCGATCTAACAGTGCTCGTCAATGCCAAAATGATTTAGATGGCCAATCAAATCAAAGTAGGCGGAGTTAACTGCTCACACAAGAAGAGCATGAGCTCCAGCACGAAGCGTTGACATTGAGCAAGGTAAGATGGAAGCAGCAAAATTCTAGACTGAATGTTAACATATTTATTCATCTCACTTACACAAAAGCAGAATCAGTATATAAAAATGACTTTAAATAAACATAACATTTGTGTTTCTTTTTTTATTAAAACTGAAGAGTGTTGAACTTTCTTCTCCTGCATCCTATTCTTCATGCAATCTAGAATGGCAGCACAGCTGAAAGGTGTATAGACGTGAATTTACATTTCCTTCAGCCTGAGGCTTATTAATTTCACTTTTTTTTTTCTTCTGCCAAAAATATAACTTTTTCTATTTTAAAAACAAACAAGCAAACCCAGCTCAGATTTAAAAATAACACAAAAGTAATGCAAAAGTAATGTAATTCATTACTGTCCATAAAAAGTAACTGAGTAACGTAATAAGTTACTTTTTTAAGGAGTAACTTTCCCCAACACTGGATATAAATAATTTTATATAATTATTTTATTTGGCACTAAAGACTTTTAGTTACTATATATGTGAGATATTTTAAATAAATGCAGTTGTTTTTAACTTTCTTCAAGGTTTAAACTTTCAAGGTATCAACGTTTCTACAAAAACATTAAGCAGAACAACGGTTTTAGCTTTGCACTCACAGGAAATTACACTTTATAAATATATTAAAATTGAAAATGTATTTACTTTAAATGGTAATAATACAATTTTAGTGTTTTTACTGTACTTTTGATCAAACAAATGTAGCCCTGGTGAGCATAAGACTTCAAAAACATTAAAGCATGAAATTAACTACTTACCAACCTCAAAATTTTGAACAATGCTGTACTTAATTTTCTTAATTTTAATTAATATTTTTTTTAAATATCATATCAAATATCATTTTTAAAAATTGCATTTAATTATTTGAATTTACTTGATTCATTTTTGTTCTACATTTTCCAATTAATTTCTCCAAAGGTACGACACTTTCTTAGAGACCACAAGAGATTTGAGAACTGATAGCACTTGTATGTAAATATAATACCTGAGGCGGGCAAACCAGGAGGGCCAGGGTGACCATTGGCCCCCTGAGGGCCTGCAGGACCCATGGGTCCAGTTGCACCAATGTCACCTTTTGCACCCTGCATCAGAAATCAATAATAATGGTCATTTATTTCCAGTGCTTTTGCACTGTTATCATGTTGCTATTATGTGTTTAGGGATGGATCACCTGCTTTCCTCTTTTTCCTGGGCGGCCGGTGGGTCCCCTGTTCCCTGAGCTTCCAGGTTCTCCTTTTGGGCCCATTTCACCCTGAGAAATGATTTTAAAATCACATATAAATGTACGTTTGTTTTATTATGTTAACTAATAATAGACCAATTCTTTTTATATAAAACTTCAAAAAATATAAAATATTTATAATAATATGCAATAATATTTTCAGGACCTTCTGGCCAAGCATTCCAGGAAGACCCATTGATCCCTGAAGCAGTACAAAAAAAAAACGAATGATGGATTAGACCAGTTACAATTTGCAATATAAAACTAACTGTACTATGGTAACTTACTTTGTCACCTTTTGAGCCAATTTCACCTCTTAAACCTTGTGAGCCCTATGAGGACAACATCAACACAGCAGAAGAATACTGAATAACAATGAACAACTGGGGTAAAAAATGAAAGCATGAACTGAAGGACGAATAAAAGTGGGTTCAGGGAGTAAAATAAAAGTGGGTTCAACTCACTTTTTCTCCCTTATGTCCAGGTAAGCCCTGCAATAAATGAACAATATTCAGTACACAAGAGTACATTATTCTATCTCCATATGACAAGATATTATGACTGCAGCAGTCCTAATTCAGGAAATGAAGACTGTCCAGACCTTGGGTCCAATTGGTCCTCTTGCCCCTGGCATGCCCATCAGCCCAGGGTCGCCTTTCTCCCCCTGTTAAACACACAGGGATCACCTCACTGGACACTAAAGCACACTGCCATGCTGTCACATCATTGTGTCCTACTGTTGAAGTCCATTACAATTCATGCTTGAGAAACACAACTTTGCCCCCATTTGCATTTAAAGTTCATACTTAATTGGTTTAAAGAGTATACCATACACTACAGTACAAAAGTTTGGTGTTGGTAAGTTTTTTTTTTATATATATTTCAAATATTATTTTAATTATGTTTTTTTTTCTATTTCAAATAAATGCTGTCCCTTTAAATTTTCTATTCATAAAAGAATTAGAAAATAATAAATAAAATTAATAACTAAAAATAATAAACTAAAATAAATAAACTAATAAAATAAAAATAATAACTTTAACCAATAAAAAAACTTTTACTTGAAATAGTCACGGTTTCCACAAAAATATTCAGCAGTACAACTGTTTTCAACTTTGCTAAGAAGAAATGTTTATTGAGCATTACATTAAAAAAATATTATATATAATATTTCACAATATTAATATATTAATGTATTTATAATTAAGTAAATGCAGCCTTGGTGAGCATAAGAGACTTTTTACTGAAAATCTTACTGACCCCAAACCTCTGAATGGTAATGTATGTCAAACATAAAACAGCTTGATGAATATAGACCAACATTGCAGATATATGTAAGTGAAAAGAAAAAATTGTCAGCTAAAATGACATCAAAGATACATCTTGAGATACAGAATACTGGCTAGTTAGCAGGTTTTTCATCCTGGCAAATGTGAATCTACTTCATGTGGTACAGGAACTAACATGAAGAGAGAATACAGTTATATTCTATGATTCAGGAATTGTGTTCATGTGATGATGGAAATAATTACTCACCTTAGACCCAGTTGGTCCTTGCCATCCACTTGGTCCCTGTCGTCCTGGAAGACCAGGAGGGCCAGTGCGTCCCTGTAACACATGCAGCATAATTTTACACACATATACATTTAAAGGTACTATGAGCTTTAAAAATCAGCTCCAGATGTCCTTGCATATTGGCAGATTTCACAGAAATTGATGTCTTGGTAAAGAGTTCTTGACTTAAAAATCATTTTGCAAGCTCAGATTGCTGACGTTGTTTTGGCTTATATATCTTTAGTGCACAGGTTTTGGCTGTCTAATGCAGTGGCTCAGCACATTTACCGCACATAATAAAATGATTAGGACAATTTTCATTAAAACATAATTTTACTACACAAATTCATTAAGTATTGATTGATAAAATAGTCCCTTATATAACAGAACTTGCTATATTATGGATTTTAGTACAGATGGAATACTGTATTGACCAATATATTTCTATTTAGCTTTATTTTCATTTCTTTTTTAGTTTTAGTAATTCTAGTACTACCACTTAAATTTATTTAAGTTATTACCAAGGCAAAATTAAGTTTTTAATCAATCAATCAATGTTTATTTATAGTGCACATTTAAACACAACCAAGGTTGATCAAAGTGCTGTACAATAAAATAATCACAATGAATTAAAAGGGAATAAGATATAGACATAAAAACAAAATAAACAAGCAATAGACAATCAACAATATACAAGAGACCCAAAATAACATACTTAAGGAATGTTAAAATCCAAGGAGAAAAGATATATATAAAGATATATATAAAGAATTTAAAAGTGATGGATGGAACCTGTCTAATGTGAAGAAGAAGCCAGCAGCAGCAAAAGCATGATCACCTTGATTTTTTAAGTTTTAACGCTGGGGACAATGAGTAGGCCAAGGTCACATGATCTTAAGGTTCTAGAAGAAGTATACAGGAGCAATAAATCAGTAAAGTATTGAGGTGCCAGGTTTTGAGGGCTTTGTAGACAAATAAAAGTCAATCTATGTTTGACAGGGTGCAAGTAAAGACATTAAAATAGGTGTAATGTGGTTATATTTGCGCTTCCCTTTGAGCAGTCCAGCAGCTGCGTTTTGTACCAGCTGCAGACGAGAAATGGTAGCTTGAGTAACGCCATAATACAGCGAATTACAGTAGTCAAACAGAGATGTTACAAAGGCATGGATTGCGGTTTCAAAATTGCTCATGGATAATAAGAGCTTAACTTTAGTAAGAAGTCAAAGTTGATAAAAACATGACTTGATAACAACAGTGATCTGTTTGTCAAACTTTAAGCTGCAGTCAAATAGGATGTCCAAATTTCTGGCACACTGCATATTTTATGGGACAAGTAAGTCTAGATCAAAAAAAAAAAAGTTTTTCTTTGGGCCAAAGATAATAATTTTGGATTTCTTTTCATTTAGATTTGGAATTGCTTGAAAGCCATAGTTTCATTTCTTTTAAGCATTTGACAGCGGCTGAAGAGAGTGTTTATTGTTAAGCTGTAAGATAGATTTGGGTGTTGTCAGTAAGTATATAGATGAAAAGATTTATCAAAAATAGAGGCCAGGGGGAGCATATACAGGGAAAACATCACGGGTCCAAGAATTGATCCCTGCGGAACACCACAACCAAAAGGTTTACATTTTGGAAGATGAGTGATGCCCCAGATGAACAGTAAATCACCTATTTGACAAATAAGAGTGAAACCACTGTAATACAGTAACACCCACACAAGTCTCCAGCAGGGACATGAGAATGTCATGGTGGACCAAATCAAATGTAGCACTTAAATCTAAAAGGACTAGAGCCATGTATTTCCCTGAATCAGTCATGAGAATGATATATTGTTATAATCTTATATTTATATTTTAAGTATACTTACATTTTGAACAAATTACTTAAATATACTTTGAATTACCGAATATTATTTTTCAAAGTTTTAGTTAATGATAACAACATTGATACAGTAGATCAGAAATGTAACTGAGGCAGGCATGTGCCAAATGTAAAGAACACAAATGTTCTACAGAAATCGAATATTTACAATTTTACTGAGTATCAGCTAGGTGTCATGACCGGCGTTCCTTTTCCAATGCATCTAATCTGTGTAACACCTAAAGATGACTGGCTGCTCAATTGCAGGGCAGTAAGGACAAGGTGAGGACAACATGTCTTCAGAGTGCTTTGAGGGACAAAACAGCTATCAGAAGAGATGGGGGGAGAGGGGGGGGGAGAGGGAGAGAGAGAGAGAGAGAGAGAGAGAAATACAGACTGAGCAATCATACTCTGACTATAGAGATGGGCAGATATCGACAGAATTGACTGCCCAAAGAGAGCCGCATCTGCCCTTACTGTAATCATGGGAAAGTGGAGACAGAGCAACACTTCCTCACCAGCTGCCTTAACTATGAAGAAATTAGAAATAAATTTTATCCCAAATTTGAAATACTTTACCCTGACTTCAAAATGTTAAACAAGAAAACACAACTTCAATATTTATTAGGTGAAAAACAAGATTGTATCTTACTAGCAGCAAGATACATTGATGCCTGTCACAAAAAGAGGGAGGAGTCAACAAATCAGTGATGCGCCCACACACACATACACACACACACACCCACCCACACACATACACACACAC